GTACAGATTTTACTGCACTCCTTAGATCAGCATTCAACAGGACAACTTTTAAAGACCAAGAAAGTGTAAATGAGGTAAACCATCCCCTCCCTTCTTTTTCCAATCCCCTTGCTGCCAAAGCCCTGCAAGGGTAGTTTCTTTTCCCCGTCTTCATTTTTTGTTGTTCCTTTTCGTTAACCTTCCTATTGATACAATCAGGTCGCTGTTATTCCGCCGCGCGGTCCACTCGCTCGTAAAAGATTTCCACCTCGGGGGAGTTTTACTGCGACCGGCCCGGGATGCTGAAAGCGTGGAGCGTGTGTTTATTTTTACGTGTTATATTCTTTTTTCAATCGTTTTGCTCGTGTTTGAGAAGAGGAAGTGAGATACTGTACTCTGTTAAAAAGAAATAGTAAAAATGATTTCACGAAGGAGGAGCCACAATAAGTCGTGAATCACCGAAAATCCTTTTTGTTCCTAAGCTAGTTTAGGGGGAGCTGAATGAAAAAATTCCACCGATAGCGCAACATTATGCGAGTAAGAAACTATGAAAAACCTAGCGCTATGGGCAATTCCCAAAATAATAGAGTGTATGCCAACACATTTTTTGCAACAGTGTATTAGCTGGGGCTCGAGCTGGGGCGTGTGGAGAAGCTGGAAGTGGAAGAGGACACGTGTGTCGCGGGCGGGGGGCCCCTGCTCCACCCGGGGGGGCGCCGTACTGCCGGAACATGGTCAGGTGCGCGGCCCTCTAACCGGAAGCGGAACCCATAAGGCTTACCATACCGCCGGGCCGGGCGCGCGCGACGCTGGCTGCCGCCGCCGCTGCAGTTACGGCTGCGGCCGAGAGGGGCGTAACACCTGAAGCCGTTTGGCAAAACTTTGCGCGGCAGCAGCGGCGGCGCTACAAAACCGCAGAGCCCCCCCTGTAGAGTCCTGTTGGGACCTGCCTCGCTGATCCCCCTCCAGTCCCCAGCCCCTCCAGTCCCCTGCACCTCCACTCCAACCCCCACCCCTGTCCGAAACACACACACAGCGCGAGCCTACACACGGGCACAAATAACAACAACAAGAACAACAACACTCTACCTGCCGGCCGGAGTCGCACGGGAGAGGCCTGCTGGCGCGGCTCGTGTAGTTTGTTTATTCCACGAAGGAAACTTGACCCGCGCAAGTAGTTCAATCAGGCCCAAGAGTTATCGGACCGGATGCTATGGCTTCATTATTCAGGGACTCTTTTTCATGCTCGGTCATAAACTTCCGAGCAAAATTTTTTTCTCCTTTTTTTTCTAACTTTACCCCCTTTCTCCAACTCCCTCTGTTCACTCTCCGCCACCCTCCCCCCACCTCTCCCGCTCTTCTGTAATAGTGTTCCTAGCGCGAGGATCGATCTGCTTACTTTTTAGTATACAATCTGCATTTTTCTTGTCTCTTTTCTTTTACCGCCTTTTTTTTCTTTTTTTTTTTTCTTTTTGTCGACGGCGCTCTTAAACGTTACCGCCGCAGGAAGCGTGGGGGGCTCAGTGAACTCCCACGCCATAACGGAGAGCATCGCACATCTCCTCAATTCCTTCGAGTGTGAAACACATTTTCATTGTGACGGACGGAATGCGGTGCCTGAGTTACGGCCGCTCGTTTCATCGCGTCAACGTGTACGCCCCGCCCCGCCCCGCCCCGCCTCGCTGTATCTTCACAGTGCAGACCTGTGCCACATATGGTATAGAAGGGGAGACAGGGATAGAAAGGGGCAAAAAGAACAGGGAAGGGGGGGCAGAAAGAACAGAGGGCAAAAAAAAAGAAATTGGGGGGGGGGGGGGGGGGGGGGGGGGAGAGCGAAGGAGGGGTTGTCAGCAGCCCTCCCATGTGGCTGTGGCTTTCTTTTCTCCCGGCTCTTGTTTCTCGCTCGGACTCCCGTCACTCGCAGATGGAGCCGCCGGCTCATAACACGAGGACTCTTCGGTTTCCTCTCGGGCCTAACGCGCGTCCTCTCCAGACGCTTGAGAGGGAAGAGAGAGAGAGAGAGAGAGAGAGAGAGAGAGAGAGAGAGAGAGAAGGGTGGGCAGGGGCAGGAGAGACACGAATAAGAGAAAGAGACGGGGTATTTTTACCCCTGCCGCGGTCGTGCGAAAGTATCTTGGTGGTTTTCGCTGTAAAAGAGGGGCGGGAGCGACACGGAAATATTGTACCTCGCAGGGGGTCGCTCCCATCTCTCTCCCGCCCGCCCCTCTCTGAGCGTGGCGATGGATCGCCCGCGGAACGGATCGCCATCAGTAACACTGCACTTCATTAGCGGGGCGCTCGTCTCTCTCTCCACTCGCCCTGCGGTCGGGATGTAGATGGTCGCCCCGGGCTGTAAATCCCAGTCCTCCGCGAGGAGCCCGCCGGCGCCCGACTCGGCCCGACCCCCTGGTCAGCCACCCCTGCCGATCCCACCGCCTTACCCCCCTCTTCGGATAACTGAATTTCCCAACAGAAATCTGAAGTTTGGAAACTGGACTTGCAAATAAAACATCGCTGGAAAACAAAATTTCCAGTCCTCAGTCCTGCAGGGGGAAAATTTCCAAACAATTTGGAAAACAGAATACACCAATTTATATCAATAATATTAGTTTAGTGACAACGCAAATGACAATTTGCAAATGAATGTAGATAAAAATGTTAGACAAAAGTTCAGGAGAACTATTTTAAAAGAGTTTAAATATTGTACCAGGTGGCTGATTCACGCCGCGCACTTTTGTACTATGCAACCCACCCGCATGGCTCCATCCGGGACTGCATACCCATCAGGCGCAGGGGACCGGCTCCAAGCACCAACGCGTCGCTCCACCACTGTTGTTGCAGCCAACTCCCAGGGGCGATACTAGGGGTTGTTCTCGGTCTCGCGCGAGTTCCCGCGAGTCCGCCAGGGGTCACCCGTGAGTCCGCGCGGGTAACATGCGGGTTCGCGGGGGTGACTCGCGGGTCCGCAGGGGTAGCTCGCGGTCCGCGGATCCTGCCACGGGGGTACCTCGCGGGCCGCGGGTTCAGTTATCCATCCCCGTGGAACAGCGAGTTACCCCCGCGGACCCGCGAGTCACCCTCGTGGCACCGTGAGTTACCCCCGCTGACTCACGGGTTACCCCTGGCGGACTCGCGGGAACTCGCGCGAGACCGCGAACAACCCCTAGTAACGCCCCTGGTCGTTGGCTCTAACAACAGTGGTGGAGCGACGCGTTGGCGCTTGGAGCCGGTCCCCTGCGCCTGATGGGTATGCAGTCCCGGATGGAGCCGTGCGGGCGGGTTGCATAGTACAAAAGTGCGCGGCGTGAATCAGCCACCTGGTATGCTTCCGAAGTGTTTTGATTTCAAATTTCCAAACTGTTGGTGCAAATTTTCCAGTTAGTTGATGGGAAACTTCAACTCAACAAAAATAACTTTTTACAATGTGTGCATTTGTTGACCGGCGCGTGCTCTGTGTGTTTCAGCGGGGGCGCTGGCCAGCCCGCCGGAGAGGGCGCTGTCGCTGCTGGAGCGGTACAAGCGCTACTCGACGGGCGGCCTCTACACCGGGCCCTTCTTCGACCCCAACTCGCCCAACAACATCACGACGCAGCTCGGCACCCACGCCTACCTGCCCTGCAAAGTCAAGCAACTGGGCAACAAATCTGTGAGTACCCATCCGTCAGTCCGCGCACCAATTTCAAATCTTCGCGCCCTTTAAAAATCGGTCATTATCATTGTTTGCGCGCCGCTAACTCAATGGTGAGGCTTTAAACATCCGGCTCCGATGACAACGGTGCGCGCTGCCAGCCCGTTCCCTGCACATGTCACCACTAAATTGGACGACAAGTTGGCACCAGGTGGGCGCCACGCCACGCCACGCCGCGCCACCCTGTACCCCGTGACGTAAGGGGGAGGGGGCCACTATCAATTCTCCATCAGTGCCATTTATTTCTCCAGCCAGCAGTCGATATGGGGAGGCATCGGCGCGGAGTAGCGAGCCGCTGACACTAGAGCAGGGATGAGTTCAGCCTCCTGGCCGCGACCCAAACGTTTTGAGTTCGTGATTTTTGTAATTATTTTTATTTTGGGTAGACGATGGGCTCGACGAAGAGGAAAGGTTCTGAAGCAGCTTTAGAATATTATTTTCGTACTCGCGCCCTCTCGCCGTGCGGCTCGCCCAGCCCACCTTGTCTGTCTCTCTTGCACCCGTGGAGCCAGCAGGTCTCTGCAGTGCTGATCCCGATGAAGCTCTAGAGCTGTTTGTCGAGCATCATCCAGCGGGCTGATGGGGAACCCTCTTTTATTCATGCTCCTGCTCGCTCTCGCACTCTTTCACTCTCGCTGTCTCTCTCTCTCTCTCTCGGGCGCTACGTCTCGCTCTTTGCAAAGGCTGTCTGTGGCGTGTCACATCACCCTGGAGCGATTCATTGTGACATAGTCATCCCCCCCCCCCCCC